GCTCATTCATGTGTCTTTATGCACCATATTACTCATCAACATAGCGGTACGTTCGACAGTACGGTACCAGTTACTCAGAACCTGGAGCCGAAGTGCTTGCTAAATCAGTCCCAGTACTATACAACAAGAAGAGTCATCCGTCCGAGTACAGAAACAAAAAGTCCCATTTCAGGCTTAGGTTATGATGTTCGTTGACGAGTTTTGGGTCCATACTGCTCGTGTGGGTCACTGACATCCTGCATCAGGTGGATAAGGAGCTCGAAGTGGGTCGATCCTCTTCCCGGATGCGCCATGCTTCCAACCTTCACTCAGATCCGGGATGAATTAGATTGATGACATTTGAGGACATATTGGGTATGCATAAGAACTTGTGAAAACCAACAAATAGGACAACTTGTTTTTATTTCATTTTTAGGTTCATGTTTCTTTTTTTCGAATTTCATCGTCCAAGTGAATGTGTTTTTAATTTGTCCCCCATGGAAACGAGGAAAACTTGGTCTGGGAGAACTGGCTCTGTAGTGGATTCGTACCCTTCAGGGACCAATGGGCATGGTAATTCCCGTAGCTACAGAATATTCCCAAGAATATCAGTACGGTACTCACTCCCCTTTTACCTGATTTTTTAGAAGTAGTACTTGAAAGTAAATATGGTGTCTATCAATGAACTGTAGGGATTAGCTGATGTTCGGGTCGGCATCCAGTTCACCCACACAGTTTAATGATGCTCCAGTCGGCTTCTTATCCACCCACACAGGCCTGAACCTAATTGTTTGACTCATCGCGGCTAGATAGTCTGCCCACACGGTAAATGATGCACAGATCGGCTTCTTATCCACCCACACAGGTCTGAACCTAATTGTTTGACTCATCGCGGCTAGATAGTCTGTGACTCATCGCGGCTAGATAGTCTGTTTACCCTAGGGCGGATCCAACCCATGAATCGAAAAAGTTCACTACTGTACCCCACTTCTGACCGTCAGTACTATCATTTTTTACCTTTTTACTTACTTCCCTACCATCACCATTACTACATTGGGAGGATCCCATTTGGAACGAAAGAAAGGTGTTACGGCGGTGCACCAGCAAAACAGCCAACATCGGCCGTTGAAGCAATCAGTCATCCTTGATATCGGAGCTTTCGTCAACTAATTAATCATCAACATTATAAAAAGGGTAGGAATGCCTTAAATGGGTGGGTTATACTGTAGATGAAGTTCTTTGCAGTTCTATTACTGTATTTTTGATCACTCTGAAATTATAGTCGCTGATGGACGATGAGATAACTCACCAGGTGTCGAATAATTCTGTGTACTGGACGTCGTGGTCCGATTGAACGCTGGGCGAGAGCTAATGGAACTGCGAATTGAACGCTGGGCGAGAGCTAATGGAACTGCGATACTCATCAACCATTCTCCTGAAATTACTGGCATAGACGAACGTAGAATCAGAAGTTCAAAATTGACGGACCAAAAGGCGTAGGGAAATGTTTTTGGGGAGATTTTGAAGAAACTTATGAAAAATACTTGAAGAATGAGCATTTTAAAGAGTGAGCCGAGTCAACGTGAAGAAAATTATTGTCGTAATCATCATCGTACAGGGAATAAGAAAGAACGGTCATCTAATCAGAGCTATGACCTCGGACATCGTCGACTAACGTGCGAGGCGGGGCCCGACGCGTCCGACAAACCATCCGCCCAAACCCATTAAACGACGACGTCTCCTCCGATTCTCCCTGTCTTCAGTGAGAAATCTCTCTTTCCCTTATCGCAAACAACAAAACTACTAACTGAACGAAAACTGAGACGCAACTCTCCACCGACAAGATTTGAAGTTGCTTTGGGGTGAAAGATCACATCTTTCGGGGAAAAATAGACAAAATTCGGATAGCCAACGCCTTACATGGCTGTAGGCAAAAATGTTGTCGACCGGGTGAAATAGCTATGGAGGGAGGGTACGGTGTAATGCCGATAAAATCAAGAAAACAATTCATCACTGTGCAGAGAAGGCCATGAAAGTGACGGTTTTTCACAATTTCTGGTATGGTGTTGCACCTTGGAGTCGCTACCACACCCTTGTCGTCGTATCCACCCCTTCGAATCAATTTTGGCATTCTTACAGCCCGTTGAGAAGGAAAGAGATAGAACATAGATAAAGTGTTCGGGATTGATCAACCCTTCCAGAATGCGCCATGCATCTGACTCCTGTTTAGAGTCGTACAGCATTTGATTGAATATGTCCATTAACCTACCCTAACTCTAGCAGAAAATAGCCCTAAGGCTGTGAAGGAGCTAAGTGTGGTCTGAATGTTATCTAAACTCTCAACGCTGGGTTTACCACTGATGAATAACCTACTAGGAGGAGCCTACTAAGTGCACTGGTGCTGTAGGAGACTCTCCCACACATGGGTTCCCTGTCCCGCACCTTTGTATTCTTGGATTTTTACGGCGGGCGGGTTTCATGGGTTTTTGTAGC